TACATTCGTGTATATTTTAATTCTGCTTTTCATTTAAGCAGCTGGAAGGAATTGACTCAATGCTATTGATTTTGGTAGGACATAAGCTTCACTCCACAAACCCTAGATAAACCCCTGTTCATTTTCTGGAAGCGATCTTTAAGTAAGGATCATGAGTACTCCTTTAAACGAAGGTGAAGATCACGGTGATGTTTTTCTTGATGAAGATGACATCGTAGAAGAAATCAATGTAGACGAAGAAGGTAATTTTACTTTCTACCCCTGAATTTACGTACCTTCTCTTTCAAATCAACATATCACAAAACTTCATCCCTTTTCTTCAGATCTCCCTGATGCAGACGATGATGCAGATTCTGATACTGAAGCTTATGGTTTGTCAAAGACTCTATAACCATTTCTTTTCTTTTCTCTTCTTTTCTACTCAAAACACTTTTTTCTTCAATTGCTTTGTCTACAGTAGATGAAGCTGATGATTCAGTGCATATATTCACTGGCCACACAGGTAACTAACTAACATTCTCTATTAACTCATTATTTCTTCAATTAAGTCAAAAAGAAACATTCAGACATACACATATAGCTTACCAGATTAATTCTTTATAATAGGTGAAGTATACACAGTTGCATGTAGCCCTACAGACCCTACATTAGTGGCAACAGGAGCAGGTGATGACAAAGGGTTTCTTTGGAAAATCGGTCAAGGAGATTGGGCTTTTGAATTACAAGGCCACAAGGATTCAGTGTCTAGTGTATCCTTCAGTTCTGATGGACAGCTGGCAGCTTCTGGAAGCTTTGATGGTGTCATTCAAGTGTGGGATATCTTATCAGGAACCCTAAAATGTACACTCGAGGGACCCGGAACAGGGATCGAGGTAGTACACAAAATCTTGTACTATCCTCTTTCTTTCTGGGGGCTGTTTGATAAATGCTGACAAAACTCTGTCAGCAAATCTCTGAACCATTCAGTAGTGAATGGTTCGGTATTATCAAACAGCCCCTTTATTTTTTTTTATTTTTTTTGTGTTTTGGGCTGATGTGAGTGTTTAGTGGGTGAGGTGGCATCCACGTGGACACCTGGTTTTAGGTGGTTCGGATGATTCGACTGTTTGGATGTGGAATGCTGACAAGGCGGTTTATCTTAATACTTTCTCGGGTCATGCTAGTACTGTCACTTGTGGTGATTTTACTCCTGATGGTAAATTTTTTTTTCCTGTTAAGTTGTTCTTTCTGTATTAAGTCAAAAAGTCAAAACAAACACTTACTCTGGTATTTAGGTAAAACAATTTGTACGGGTTCTGATGATGCAAGTTTGAGGATATGGAACCCAAAAACTGGAGAGAATATTCATGTTGTTAGAGGTATGTAATATGTAATTCTCATTGCTTCTTATTATATTCCATTAAATGTTTTAATTTAAATATATATTTTACTTTCTTTTTTTGTATTAAAGGTCATTTCTATCACACCGAAGGGCTTACATGTTTGGCAATAACCGCTGACTCATCTCTCGTTCTTACCGGTTCAAAAGATGGATCTGCCCATGTAGTCAATATCATAACCGGGAAGGTTCGAATAATTTCATCTTTTATTTTAATCCATTAATTTCTCATATTTCTTTTTATTTTTTTGTTTACATATTTTAATTATATCTTTTTTTTTTCGAACACAGGTTGTGACTTCTCTAACTTCACATACGGATTCAATCGAATGCATCGGGCTCTCATCTAGGTAATTTCAAACGAAGACAACTTTTATAGTCTATACATTCCAGGGGTAAAAAAGTCTTTTCAGTTTTCACTAACTACATGACATCAATTCATGTGTCAGCTCTCCATGGGCAGCAACCGGTAGCATGGATAAAAAACTCATCATCTGGGATCTACAACACTCTATACCCCGTTGCACTTGTGAACACGAGGTTCGTTTCATGATATTTTGAAATGGGTAAAAAAAGTCTTTTCACATGTGTTTTTTTTTTTAAACATATTCATGTTTTGTTGTTGAGCAGGAGGGGGTGACGTGTCTGTCATGGGTAGGTGGGTCCCAATTTGTGGCGACAGGGTGTGTGGATGGGAGAGTGAGGATATGGGACAGTTTGTCTGGAGAATGTGTTAAGACATTAAGAGGACACTCTGATGCTATTCAGTCATTGGCTGTATCAGCTGATGGAAACCATTTAGTTTCTGTTTCTCTTGATGGAACTGCAAGAGTATTTGAGATTGATGAGTTTCACTAAGTCAACAAAAAGTCAAACCGTGTTATTACCATTTTGCCACCGAGTCTTTGTAACATTAATACATATGAATCATACATACACCATCAGATATTCAACTGTTTGATTGTTTTTATTGTTCAAACTTCTATGAGTAAACAAATATATATTATATATATATATATATATATTTGTTGTTTCTTTATAGGTAATGTGCTTTATATATTGTTTTTTTTACCTGTAATAGAAATGTACATAAAAAGTACATTGCTGTTATTGGTAGAGAAATGAAGGCAAGTTGCCAAAACCGAAAGTTAATTTGACATGAAAAAGTTAATTTGTCAAATATAGTTTTTGCCAAAACTGAAAGATAGTTAAAGAACATGAAATGGAATAAACGAATTTGTTTTAGGTTTGTTTGGTAAATTGAGTTAAATGCTTAATTGAATGATTTTAATTTCATAATGGTTAAGAGAATCAGTTCTTAAGACTTTGAATTTGTTAAATGGTGGTTCAAAAAATGATAGTATATGAAAGGTAGGAATACTTCCATGTAGAGGTTACAAAGAGACCTTTGTTAACAATTGGGTGTTAAAATGTCGATGGTCTTCGTCCCCTAAGATTTGTTAATGTGTCAGTCACGTGAACTTTTTGTCCTTTTCATTATATTTTGGTAGACGGCAATCAATGCTATCCAAATGTACATTAAGCATTAAATGTTGTACATTTCTCTATTCACCAAAGCTTTGAATATATTCTATAATTTGCCTTTTCATGAGTTGTTACCTGGTAATTCCTTTATTGTAACTAAACTATATAAAGAAAATTTATGTACAAACTTTATCCTTAAAAGCACATTTTTCCAAATTGAAATATTCTACAATAAGATACGATAAAAAAAATCTTAGAACTATTGTATGCATAGTTTTATTATTATTATTATTATTTTTGTAACATATGCTGACCAAATTTCTAACATCAATCGGTGTTCACTCATAAATGCATCGTTTCTAGATTCAATTTTTTGGCCTATCATTTGGTCCAATTTTTGTGGGAAATTCCCAACTCACAACAACATGTGAAAGCTTCAAATTCAATAAGGGGTGTGGCCAAGAATCATGTGATGTGCATCAAATGTAACCACAACATTAATTACTAGAATCCCATATCTATGTATATAAATGTTTATGTTTATTCATTCTCCAAACCCCTCCCAAATCTTGACTTCTTTTTCTTACATGGTTTTGACCATCTACTACTTCTATTCTTATTCTCAATATATCCTTTTCTTTTAATCCTAAAAAGAAAAAGAAAGAGTTAAGAAAATGAAGCACATCCATTCACTTAGATTCCACACTTGGTTTTTTGTCATTATTGTTTTCTTGGTTCTTAGCCGTGGTGGAAGTCTTCATCCTCATCATTGTAAGGGCTTTATATTCATCGCATATTCTTTATGTCCATGTGCACTTGGTGTATTATGATTATTGTTCAAATTGTAGCCAACTAAGGTCAAAGTCTTCATCTTTTTATTGTTAGGGCCAAATCGTATTTTATATGGCAATTGACACGTGCACTTGGTTTATTATGATTATTGTCCTCATCATTTTAATGGTTTCTTGTCCTTATTGTTTTTGTTGATACTTAATCATGGTCAAAATCTTCAATGTCGTTGTAAAGGGTGACATCATTGTTTTACATTTTTTATGTGTATGAACACTAATGTTTTCTTGGTACTATTTGTTGTAAGGGCAAAATAGTCAGTTGACATTTGATTTTCGAAGTTGTCTTGATAACTTCAACTTGATAGCATCCATTTCACTCTTTTGGAAACGAAGATTGTAGAGTTTATTGCTCATTGTTCTCTATTGTGTATTTCAGTCATACATGCAGAGAAGATAACTCATGGTGATCACCAAATTCATTCACACCCCAAGGTTAGTTTTCCAATATTCATCCCTTACTTTGACTTTAAAGTCAAGTAAGTGGTAACCTACATTTTGACTTTTTGAAGACAAGAAAAAAAAAATTAATTGTTACATTAAAAGATAGAATAAATGCTACCAAAGAAGAAAGAAATGGAAGTTAATTATACGAAGCTCTTTATCAAATTTACAACTAAAATTAACATCGTTTTAACAATGATTTAAATAGAAACAGAGAATTTTACATTCGGTGACCGGATGTAGAAAACATTTTCTTCGAAGTCACTACAAAATGTTGGACAATAGCACCATGAGACATACAAACCATACTATGTAAAAGTTAACTATTGTTTCATATTACAATTACAATTTGTATGGATAAATACAAGCTCTTACATGTGTTTTAAATTTCGTAAAGCTCATCTAAACTTTTGTATATATTTGTAGAAGCAAAAATACGAAGAATTATATCCAACAGGGTCAAACATACCAGATTGCTCACACGCTTGTGGGCCATGTTTTCCATGCAAAAGGGTGATGATAAGCTACAAGTGTCCGATGACTGAATCATGTCCAGTCATTTATAGATGCATATGTAAAGGCAGATACTATCATGTTCCATCAAACTAAGTATAACTTCTTATTTTGACTTGTAATAGGGGAATTGTTTGGACTAATCTAAGTTTTTTTTTTTTTTTTTTTTCAATCAATTTATGGAACTTTTATGTATTTTTCTATTTCTAGAAAATTTGTATGGTTTTCAAACCATTATCTAGTTGATTTAAAAGAATTTCAACTTTAGTGAAACTACAAAGAGTTTTTTGAAACTCAGTCAACAAATATCAATAATTCTTGTAGACACATAATATGGTCGATAAACCGGACCTCTTGCAACTTGCATATATAGATATACATACATACATTCATATATATGCTCACAATATTACAAATTATATTTACATTTTTGTTCACGAAACGAGTAAACAGATTATAAAGTAGCAATTGGATTGATTGATATGAGGTGATTTTATGAAAGTAAAGTTGCTAGTAAAAATCTCTAGATTTGCTAATGGCGGCTAATGAAAACTCGAAAAAAGTAGATTGATTCATGAAAGTAAAGTTGCGCGATCATGAGGACGACCAGACCAGATTGAACTCAGTACACGAAGTCGTTGAAAGTATTCACCAAGTGCAAGCAATGCTTTTGCTGCTTGACGAAGTGTTAAGATCTGATACATTTGTTGCAGAGTCTGTTGCCGGAGGTGATCCGCCTGTGATGTTTTTTTTGGAACTTCCGATTAGAGAATGAAGAAGAAGATCAAAGCTTGTTTCGAATTTTACCTGATTCAAGAAAATTTCAAGCGCTTCGAGCCTTTCGAGTGCACAATTCATCTGTGTGGTGTAACTTCCGGCTCCGGTTATGTCGATTGTGATGCTCTGAGCTAGCGTCTGTTGAAGCTTTTCCATTCCTTGACTCAGTGCCTCCTCCGCTTGCTCGCATGATTGCCGGAGACCCCTCGCCTTCACCAGTTGCGTATCCGTTAACTCGATTTGTGGTATCAGTATCTGCCACCAATACAAAAACCTAAAATGTTAGTATTTGTTTAACTGAAATTGAAAGCGGAAGGCGGAAGCTTACGTATAAGAGCTCAGATGGCCGGAATCCGCCGATCCATTGGAAGAACCGCTCCACCGGAGTTCTCCACAACCCGTTCAACAAATAAAACACGTCGGCTTTCGCGGCGTCCGCCTTCATTCGGAAAAGATCGTAGTAATGATTCAATCCACTGTCGACGAACATACGAAGCTCGACATCGCTCGTATGAGTCAACAACACTTTCCGAAGATCATCGTCCTTCTTCCGCTGTTCCCCAATCCACAATTCATACTCCATTTCGAATGTAGCAATCCCGGCGTTCATTACATTACCAGATAACAAACTGTTGCCGGTGTTCAAATAGACCACCGTATGCGCCCTGTAATCAACCAATCAACTACCGACACATCAGATTCAGCCGTGAATCGGAATTGGAAAATGGAAATTAACCTGCCGTCGAGCCCTCTCGAGTTCCTGTTCTAATTGCACCAATTTTAAACGACCGGATTCCAATTGTTGAACATACGCCTGAAAATAGTAAGAATCAAGTTGAGAATCAAACCAGGTTCAATTCATGATCATGATTCGTGAATTTCTTTCACGTTTCATGATTTGATCTAACCTTTTTCCTTAAACGACTTTTACGAGCAGCTTCACGATTTTGTGCTAGTCGTCTCTGCAACTGCAACCAGGGAAACACGAATATATCAGGTAACGTACATTCAAATTCAAACACAAATTCGATACGATTGCTATCAGTTATCACCTTATCTGAAATTGTTTTTGTTGCTCGAGCTTCTGGCGATGGTTCTAACGATTCTTGAGAGTTGTATTCGGTCTAAAAGAATCACAATAACATGAAATTTCAATAATCATGAAGAACATGATCTATACGCATACATACAGATAGATAGATATATATATATATATATAACTTTAGTAATCTAAAAGACCTTGTTTGCTAGCCTTGAATCGACCTGTGTCATCATCATCATACCAGGGCTTGTGTTAGGGTTAAGATTAGCTCCAAAACCATCGTCCCACATGCTTATTTGTTGCAGTGGGTCGTATATTCCCATTCTTCTTGAGGTTACAAATTGAGTCGAAGTTGAGGCCATGGTTTACTTACAAAATTCTGATGAATTTTGAAAAAGAAAACGATAATCAGATGCATAATTAACTTCAAAATCCTCATGAATCACTTCAGTCCAATAGGAAAAGTTGATAATTTTATCGAACTATATAAAAAAAAGTAAGCAAACAGACCAAAAAACTACACAGATTCTAAAAGTCAACATGATCATTCACAACAGAATATATAATTGCATAAAACTTCATAGGTAGATGATTTGGATCAAGAATTTGTACAACATCTGATGCAGAGTGTACTACTTATGTAGGATTAATCATAGCATTAAAAAATACCTAAAAAAACAAAAATCAGTTCATAAAAATTGCAACTTTGTCATCTGTTTCTATTCAAGCTACGAATTCCTCTAAAAAATCACACACAAAAACACCTTTAAAATCATATTATTATATCGAGAAACTACAAACTTAAACACACAGATTTAGACAGAAAAGCACCTACAAGTAGATCAGTTAATTTATCAAGAAAAACGAAGAATAGAGAAGGGTTACTGAAAAGCTAACCTGTGCATGAAGGCTAAATGGAGAAGGGGAAATCTTGAAAAACCGAAAAAGATCCAATTTTGTTGGGGTTTTTATAAACAAGAAACTAAACCCATTAAAATAAAGCAATAAATTATACTAATTTAGATGATATCAGAACCACCCATCACCCATTGCCTAAAAGCAAAAACACCCAATTGTGTAAAGAATGAAAAAACCTAAATAAATTGACAAATTAAGCATTAAACTAATAAAACATAACAATAATAGTGTTGTGTTTACAATTAAAAAAAAAAGGCTAGCTGCTTTTCCAGTTTAAAGATTAACAAATTCAGATTAAAGTACAGCTTTTGATGCATTATGTATTAATTGATTTAATTAATCTTGTTTCTAATATTGAGGATTATTAATTTATTATTTACTAATCTGAGAATAGGAAAGAGATGATCTGATTAAAAGATATGGCTTTTGAATGACATGGGGGGTTATGTTATTATATTTTGGAAATGCGTACCAACTCACTATTGGCACCAATTCTTTACAATCAGCCATTCATTCTTCTCTACTTTTTTTTTTTTTTTTTTTTTTTTTTGGATACTGTTATATTCATCAAAGAATTATGTTAACTTTTCAAAAAATATATACATAATTGCTTTGATTTTCTTAAAAAACAAGACGTTTAGGACTGTATATAATAATCATAGTATAACAATACGACTGAAAAATAAGTTAATCATGTAAAACTAGACAATTTTTATAGAGTAAATTTGAGTATCCGACCATTCTCATTTTTTTTAAATAAAAAACCTATATTTTGACTTTTTTTAGAATTATTTTTTTTTTCAAAAAATACCCAACTTTTACGGTTGTTTGTAAATTGAGTATTTTTTTCCATAAATATATGTAAAATATATGATGGACAACCTCTTGATTCATATTCAAATCCTGATACTATTCATCTTATGTGACCATGGAGGTTCGTCTGCAGTAACTTCTGAGCATAAGGCATAACCTACTTTTATTCATAATTATCTTTTTATCCATATAAAATGATGCCACATGTTTTAAAATATTATTAAAATACGATACTTATAATTTCATGAGTATGAAGATAAATAAAATGAAAAAGTAAGAGAATATTTAATTTCTCTTAATGAACCGATTACAAATTAAACAAAGCTAGTGAAACAACTTATGACAAGTTTTCTTCGTCTTGAAATAATCTTTTTCTATATAAATGTTATCTTACTTAAACTGAATAAATTCTAAATGAAGTTAAGTTCATTTTCATTACTAAATTTGAAAAGTAGTACCTCTAAGATTCTTTTGAGTACTTGAGTTGAGGACATGTCTCCTTTTATAGGACTATGTGCTTCTTATTTGAATTTGACTTTTGTAAAGTCTACTAATGAGTCTTATACTCTTAATAAGTTTGTAGTTTGCTAGAAAAAAACAAAAAACAAAATGTGTTAAAATCTTAAGACAAAACGTTGTCTTCCAATGAAAAATATTTCTCAGTCATCTTTGATAATTTGTTATTTTCCTTATAATAAATAGAATTTTTGGGTAGTATCGTATTTAGAAAAAGAAAAAGGTTGATATAATATTTTTGTTTATCACAGAATGAAAGTATGCAAATTAATTAGTGTTCATCAAATTCACGTGTATAGCATTCTACCAGAAACAACTTTAACCGATTTTAATCACATATATATATATATATATATATATATATATATATATATATATATATATATATATATATATATATAATATATATATATATATATATAGGGTTAGGTTCATTTGAGACCACCTATATTTTGTGAGACCGTGAGACGCATTTTTTTAATTTTATTTTTATTTTATTTTTATTTAAATCATGTTCCGAAAATAATATTTAAAAAAAGAATTTTTTGATTTTTCCATTTATTTTGCATTTTAAAATTATTTTTAGAATATGTATAGTGTAATATTCTATTCAGAATATTTCACGTATTTTTCAAAAAAAAAATAAAATTTTTTTATTTTATTTTTATTTTTTTTAATTAATTCAAGTTCCGAAAATAATATTTAAAAAAAGAATTTTTAGATTTTTCCATTTATTTTGCATTTTAAAATTATTTTTTAGAATATGTCAGTATAATATTCTATTCAGAATATTTCACGTATTTTTAAAAAAAAAACGGAATTTTTTTATTTTTTTATATATTTTTTATATATTTTTTTAGTTAATTCAAGTTTCGAAAATAATATTTAAAAAAAGAATTTTTGGATTTTTCCACTTATTTTGCATTTTAAAATTATTTTTAGATTTGGTCTCACGGTCTCACAAAATTAGAATGGTCTCAAATGAACCTGAACCTATATATATATATATATATATATATATATATATATATATATATATATATATATATATATATATATATATATATATATATATATATATATATATATTTCATTTCATATTTGCAAGAGTATTACAACTAATTAACACATAAAAAGTCATAAAAAAGGTTAATAGAAAGTACAAATAAGTGCTTCTTCTTTTTTAATCTTTTGAATTAATCCGCTCAATGTTTCAATAATTGTGAATTTACATGAGATAAAATTATTTTTTCTTACGTAGTATTTGTGAAAATCATTTTATATGAAAATTAGTTGTCGTATTGTCATGTACATCTTGTTGTATTAGGCATGTACTATATATAAGCAATAATAGAATATATGATTTATAGTAATATTTTAGTACAGGTAATTAGATTTCATTGTTTAAAAGTTTAGGGTCCCATTACTTTAGATGTACTCAAGTTATCAAAGCATTTGGAAAGAATAATGTACAAGTAGGGGCAACGAAAGTTATAAATCCATTACCAAGGGAATGCTACGAGACTGAACTTTTTTTAGAACGACGGAAAAAATTCTAAAAAGACGTTAGAAAATATCTATACAAAGAACTATAAGATATGGCTGTGTTTTGCAATAGGAAGTCCCACAACAACTTAGATTTTCACACCTATTAGAAAAAAATATCATATCTACCACATAATAAAAGAAATGGATTTCTTAAAACCAATCGTCCGAAAAATAGCGTCCCAAAAATAAGGAATTATGAAAATTCCATAAACAACAGAGTGCATCAAACGTCTTCCGTAGGCATCAGACAAATTAGGGGTGAGTGCGGTGCGGTTCGATACGGTTATTGACCAAAGCCTTACCACTAACAGCAAATGTTGTTAATCCATTTTCAAAACCCTTGGTGCGGTTATTTTTGCGGTGCGGTTAGGTGGTTATTTTTGTGGTGTAGTTTTTTTTTTTTTTTTGGTTATTAATCCAATGGATTTGGTGCAGTTATTTTGTGTGGGTTTTAACCGCAATTTATAGTTCAAATGGTTTTAAGAGTTTAGACATATTACTTATAATAATAATAAAAAAAAATAAAGTATATGACAATTAACTTAAATCACAAACAATTAATATCATAAAAATGTGAAATCACTAGTACTTAACAATAAATATCTTGAAATTGTGAAATTTTATTATTTTTCAAAATTAAACATAACAAAAAACAACATTTTTGTCTTCTAGAACTTTATCTATATTCCATTCATGAAACTTGTCTTATTTTTAATATTTAATATATTACTAATTAATAAAAAATTATATATAATGTATGCGGTGCAGTACTTTTTTTTTGTGGTTTTTTAAAATTAATAACCGCACCGCACCACAAATTTAAGGTTTTTGAAAAACTGAAAACCTCACCATTAGTTTTTATTGCGGTTTCATACGAATAATTTTAGTTTGGGGTGCGGTTATTTTGCTCACCCCTAAATTAGAAATCAACGTGAATCCGCTCATACAAACAAGGTAACCAAACAAAAAATATGAACAAAAGAATACAACATTTGAACACGTGTTCGATGTTCCTAAAGGCTAATATTATATTCTTACATATTACTTAAATATGCAAATTACGTCGAAAATAAGCAACTCATTTTTTTATATAATGGGTAAATAACCGTATCGACAAAGAACTCATGATTATAAATTTATAATTCTAGTTCTATTGAAAATTAAGAAAGTAAGTATCTATTGAATTCAAATAATAAAGCAATAAACCTTTTTTTACTAAGAAAAGTAAACATTGAGAAGTGGACATTTAACCAAATAACGAAAGAGGGATATAACTTCAGGAAATGAAACATAATAGTAATTTTTGATGGTGTTTTACAAAAAAAATAGACAAGAAAATGAGTGTTTCCACATATAGATATGGATTCTGCAGAGCATCCTTCTAGTGTTTTGCGGAATCGATTTAATCTACAAGGAATCAATGTGGCACAAAATAAAATCTGAAGAAAACTTTCGCAGATCTACCTCCGAGGAGTGAACTTTTGCTCCGAGGAATCGATATGACAAAAAAAAATTGAAGTCCATTCCTCGGAGAAAAAGTTAATTCATCGGAGGTAGCTCCGCATAATTGTTCTTAATATATATATATATATATATATATATATATATATATATATATATATATATACACACACACACACACACACAATATTTTGTCTAATCGATTCATTGGAGCAAAAGTTCACGGAGGTAGCTTCGCAGAATTAATTTTCATATTTTTTTAGTGTCACAACGATTCTTCGAGTATTAAGTCAATTCCACGAAGCACTCGGAGTGTGCTCTGCAAAATCGATATCTATAGGTGGAAACATCCATTTTCTTGTCTATTTTTTTAAAACAACACCAAAAGATGAATATTGTGATCCATTTCACTATAACTTCAGGTTTAAAATACCTCAAAGTTAATTATCTTTTGAAATTAAATGGCAAATATGAGATTATAACATGTGCTATCTCAATTAATTACTTATGTCATGATAATAATAGTGAGGTATTATTTGTCAAATTAGTTGAAAATATAATTTGTAGCTGATAAGTTAGTTTATAAATTAAAATATTTGATAAAAAATAGCTTATAAAATTAATCGTGATGTAAAATGATATAAATAAACATTTAAATATATAACTAAAAGACAAAAATAGATATAATTAAACGCATATAAGAAATATTTTTGAAAAAGCTTTATAAATGTAACCACAGTAAAATTTTAAAAAGGATAAAAACCATTTTCATAAATTCCAACATCATAAAACATATGTTTTTAAACATAAATCCA